AAAGAAAGAAAGAAAGAAACTGAGCTGAGCTGTGTGCGCCTTGGTCCCAGGACAAGGTCTCCTGTTGAATCCCAGGCCTGACCAAGCAGCCCAGGGGAGCCTGTGTCCTGTCAGGTGGACCAGCAAGAGGCGCTGGGTGCAGGGTGAGGGAGTCCCGCAGATAGTGGGGCCACCTGCCAGGTGCCTGCGCAGTGCACAGAGGCCCTCTCCGTTATTTTCTCATTGCTGGATGCAATGCTCAGCAGCCACAGCTCTGAGGAGGAGAGGTTTGTTTTGGCTCAAGTTTACAGAGCTTTCATTCCGTAGCTGGCTGGCTCCAAGGCAAGGTGGCATGGTAGAAGGGTGTCACAGAGGAGAGCTGCTCATGGGACACAGAGTTCAAGAGAGGAGGGAGGCCCCTCCTGGGCCACACCCCAATGCCCCTCCCCGGGCTGAGCTGTACCTCCCAAAGTCACATGTAGCTATGAAGCCATCAGGGGACTAATCTGGATGAGGGTCACACACCCACGATCCAGTGGCCTTCCACTTAAGAGTCCATGAGGCTTTGGGGGGACACCCAGACAACTATACTCTTCTACCTCTGGACCTGTATGCAAAATACACTTAGTCCACTTGTAGGAGTTGCCGAAGCCCTAACAGTTTCAGTGTTGCCTGAAAGTCCAAGACCAAAGTCTCCTCTGAGATGCAAGAGAAACTCTTAGCTACAAGCCCCTGTCAAAATTAAAAAGTTACACACTTCCAACAAACAATGGCTCAAAGTAAACATTCCCACTCCAAAAGGTAGGAATAGGGAAATGGGGGCTGGGGTTTAGCTTAGTGGCACAGCACCGGCCTGGCAAGCAAGAGGTCCTGAGTTTGATTTCCAGTACCCATCTCCCCTCCCCACTCTCCCCCCTCAAAAAAAAGAGAAGGAAATAGAGGGACAGAAAGAAATGGGACCAAAATAAGATTGAAACTCAGCCGGGCAAACATTACATCTCATAGTTCGATGTCCAGCTCATGGGACCATCTGTGGCAAGACATGAGCATCGAAAGGCTTGGGCCCCCCGCCCCTCTGGCACGGCTGGTAGTTACAGCCCTAGCAGCCTCCACCTCAGGCTGGCTTTGCTCACTCTTAGTTTTCCTCAGACAACCCATGTTCCTGACTTCTCCAGCATCCTGGCATCTCCCCTACGTGTTCAGCTTCGCACTCTCAGCCCCACACACCGTCCTCTCAGGGCCACACTGCCTGGCCTCATGGGCCTTCTCACATCTGAGTGGAGTCTCCCTTACTCCACAACCCCTGCACTCTGCATGAGTGTAAAATGAGCACCCTGTGGAGTGGTTGTTGAGCCCTTTTACTTTTTTTTTTTTTTGTATTTTAGTACAGGGTCTGCAGGGTCTACAGGGTCTCACTACATAAATCTGACTCATAGTGAGTCTCCTGTGTTCAGCCTCCCAAGAGCTGGGATTACAGGTGTGCACCATCACACCTAGTCTCAATCACTGTCTCAGCGTACTCTGGGGGTGGGGCCAGCATGGCATGCCAGGTAGCAAACCCAGGTCCCTGCAGTCTGCCTAAGCAGGTGCTTTAATCCACTGAGCTATCTAGTCAGCCCAAGACTATTTTTTTCTATTGTCCTGTTCCAAAGTATCTGGCTTCTTTTTAATGCTCATTTTTTTTCAGCCACCAAGTTTCCTCTGCTCCATTTTTGCAGGTCTTAACTTTTATTTTAAACTTTACTAACGTTTCCTGCTGGCCAAACTCAAAACTTTTAAAAATCATTCTGCTGGGTGGTTTGTTCTTGATTCACAAGATGGCACTGACTAAAAGCCCCCAAGAGTAGTATCCAAGCTGCAGCCTGAATGTTCAGTTGCCTTGAGGCTTTCTCCTCTAGACTGATCAGCCCCTCACCCTCAGTCCGTCTCCTACAAAGTCCCTGGACATGAGCAAAATCCAGACACATTTTCTGCCAAGCACAGGCACATGGCCTGCAGTCCAACCTGGAATGGAGTCCTCTGAATGGAGTTCCAAGGGAAACCTTTTGAGCCTGGTCTTTTCTGGTTGCATGGCAGTCAACTGTCTGGTCTGAACTCCAATGAGAATTTCCCGCCAAACTCTGCCTACAATCCTCCAGGTCTGCTTCTTCAGTTGGCCCTTCCAGACCTTTCCAGACTCTGCCCCATAAACCAGTTCCAAAGCCTTCTGAATCACACGGTCAAGTGTAGCCCCACAGCAACAACTCCACTGCTATGGTCCCCAAACCTGCCTTATTTAGCTCTTTTTGCATCACTGGGACACAACACTCGACACCCACGTCTCTAAGGCAGAAAGGTTTACTTCAGCTCATGGTTTGTAGCAGTTTTAGTCCACTGTCAGCTGGCTCCAAGGCAGGGCGGCCTGGCAGAGGAGCTTGGGGGCAGGAAGTAGAGGGAGATCAAGGGAAGCCACACCCCCAGTGCCCCACCTCCTCCAACCAGGCTTCAATTCCCAGTGCCACATTTAGCTCTAAACTCCGTGGACTGATCCACAGGTAAGTGTCACACACTTTCCATCCAATCACCTCCGCAAGCCCTGCCTATGAGCACCCGAGGCTTTGGAGACATCTAGATACAACCATAGCAGGTGTCGAGCCCTTATTCACCCGGAACTCCATTCATTCATTCATTCATTCATTCACTCACTTACTCACTCATTCATTCATTCATTCATTCATGGTGGTACTTCAGTTCACAAACCCAATTCTCTCCACAAGTCTGATGGCAAACTGAGCTGGACGTTTAGCAGCACTAAAGCTGAACTGGATGAGAACCAAATCCAATTTCTCCAGTAAAGTCAACATTGAACCTAACCACTAAATTTGATTTGGCTGTGTGTAGTGGTGCATGCCTGTTAGTTCCAGCACTTGAGAGACTAAAACAGGAGGAGCACCATGAGTTTGAGGCCATCCTTAAGTTTGGGCTATAAAGTGAGTTCAAGTCCAGTCTGAACTGTATTCTGAGACTCCTCCAAAAGACAACAAAACAAAACACCTCATCCAACTCAGTCTGTGACCAGAATTACAAGTTCATGAACCGAGGTGCCACTGTACAATTAACTCCAATATTTATCAAGCTCCAACATGGCAGCAGGCCCTGTGGTAGGCCTGATGCGTAAGACCAAACAGGCTGCGTCTCTACAGAGCTTATATTCTGTGCCAGGGGGAGAGACAATTAAATGAACAATAACAGTCAGGAGTGTTGACAGCCATTGCCTGAGAGAGACCAAATGAGATGGGGTTGGGTATCCGGAGCAGGGAAGTGGTGGGTGATTGCTAAAGTGAACCCTGGAGCTGCCTGGGAAGGGATTGGCAGAAAGGGACAGAGTCCAGACGAAGAAATGAAAAGCAGGCACAAATTTCTGAAAGGGAGAAAGAATACCCCAAGATTGAGGGACCTTACAAAGCAACTGTAGGGTGAGGATAGACCCAGAAAGAAAGAGAGCCGGGAGGCTGAGGGACTGGCTTGTTCTTGAATGCACTGAACATTTGGAAAATGTCCAGCTTTCCTCCCCTGTGTCTGCCCCTCAGACATCTCCTCAGAAGCTTAAGGGAATCACAGATCAAGTCTGTAAGGGAGAAGCTGGGGCCCAGAGCTGTTCCCTTCAAGAGAGTAAGAGTGGGTGGCGGCTGGAGGTCAGGGGGCCAGAGATGTGCTGACACCCTGAAGACCACGCTGAGGTAAGCCACAAACAGCACACTGACACACTCTCCCAGCCAGCCCGCACACGCACACACCACTGCACACACCCAAAAGGCACCCCTTCCTCACAGGTGCACACATGCACAGAAGGGATGTGGCTCGCCCACCAAGTGTATCTGCTGTGATGCAGAGCTTACTGTTCCAACTCCGTCATCCCAGGCTTTCTCCCCCAAACTGATGAATCAGTCCCACCACATCCCTTTGAGACAAGACTGAAGCCAGAATTACCCTCTTTCACTGCACAGGGGAGAAAACCCAGGCCTGACACAGGATGAGGCCTCCCCAAGATGATGGGGTGGGGGGAATGATTACTTCAGTTTAGTCCAAAGGCCAAACTAGTCTAGTTTATCTCCTTCAACTAGATGGGTTTTAGGGAAACAGGTGGGAAAGTACAAAGCCCAAGGGGACAGAGGACATTCCCCAGCTGCCAGGGC